CCAATCCACTTTATAAAAATAAAAATAAAAGTCTTTTTGCAGGATATCCCACCAACTTGCATAAGAACCAAAACTAACAAAGAAAAGACCACACCTCCCTAAGAAGTCAATTTTATAACTGAAAAATCTTGTAGTCACGTAGACTCCGATTCCTAGCTCAATGCTTTACAGAAAGCTGATTACAGAAAGTTACCAGGAAAAGGTATTACAGTAAATCATATGAAGATTCTTTTCTTCCTTATCAGCCAGTAAGAATGACCCGCATTAAGACAGAAAATAAAAAAAAAATTAAAATCTGGTAATCTGGTTTCATACAGGTAATTTTATTAATTACTTTAATATGCAATTAAGGACTAGTCAGTGGGCAGCAGGATTTTATAAGGCAATAATCCTGGTCCCTGGTGTACAGCTTTGTCCCAAAGAGTAGGTTATCCAAAAAAAAAAAGAAGCTGGATGGCTGCCAAATCAAACAGCACCTTCTTCCCATTTTCAATTACATACAAGTGAGGCAGAGTAACGAGGATATACTGGAAACTTTGACATTTATTTATTGAACATTCTTACTGAGAAGGAATTGTTGGCTTGCTAAACCGGAAACTATATTTTTACTGCAGAAACAATCACATAGAAAACCACGATCCTGCTGCTCAGCATGAAAGGAATGGCTAGAACCAATAAATTGACCCATCTAAGCCAGCAATGTTAAGGTTATTTCATTCAATGCAACACATATTTCAAAAATCCCAAACCCAAAAATAGAGTGTATAGTTCAAAAACCTTTATGTCATACTATTTTACATAGTGCTGTCTTCTGTGGCCCAGCCAGGCTGTGTTACGGTTCAGACACACAACAATCAAGACACAAGAAAACCATGAAAAGAAAAAAGTGCTGCATTTTTAGGGGCAAATAAAAAGATAACTCAAATTGCAAGAAGAAATTCAGAAGATTTTCTCCCCTTTCTGGAGATTCTAGAGACTAAGTAACCAGAAGATCAAATGGAGAAGAACACATCACACTGCGTATTATTTTTTGCCTTTTTGGATAGACCAATTGTTTTAATTCAGTTTTACCACAGAGGAGAAAAATGCAGAGAGAGTAAATGAAGAGGAAAATAGGGAAGTCAACATTCTTTGAAGCAACAACATATGGTGACCAGGCGTGAGAGATGGAGGTTATAAATCTTTCCTTGATAGAACTACCTAAAGGAGAAATTGCAGCTTCAAGGGGCATGAGCTTTTAAAACCAAGCTAGAATCTAGCAAATTAACCTGTACGGTTACAAATTTTGCAATAATCTTCATTTCCAATGCTTCTTTGTAAAGGCAGAGCATACTGAGGGTATTGGTACTAATACAGATGTGGGCAGTAGAAAGCATGAAAATCTTTGCTCCACAAATCACTTAAAATATGAATAAAAATATATGAAAATTAAGAATCAGAACAAAAGGCTGCATCTTGCAAATACTCCTGTTGTTGTATAGAAAGGGAAAGGAGACAGGAGGTACGTTGGTGCTTGTTTCTTTGCGAGAAGAAACTGATTCAGGGATACCAAAGCCCAGAGGAAAAGTTCTTCAGGGTTCCAGCCACAACGACCAACTGCCTAAGAGAGTGACGGGTGAGAATCCTGCTGTCCCATGCACGCTTCTGACTGGGCTCATCATACAGCAGTATGTAGATCAGCAAGTGCTCTTGGAAAAACCATCCTCCTCCAAAGCTGATAAAAACTCCATCCCCACTTCCAAATCCCAGTGAGAGAATGGGATATTCTGTCAGCAGTACATCCATCGGGATAGCACAGGAGAGCACGAGAGTAACAGTAACCACCACAGCCACATACTTTACCCCTAAGGAAATGCCATCTAATTCCAATGCGTTTCTTAACCGTTAAGCCACATAAAGCCTACCTCTAATTACTATATACGGTTACCATAGAGTTGGGTTTTCCCTAGATGACTTATCTTTTATTTCCTCTATTGAGAAGTGATGCCCTGGTAGATTTTGAGGATCTTCCATGTGCTCAGATTTTCTGAGTGAAGAGCAGAGACTCTGACTTGGCTGCCCCATGCCCGTAGGCTCAGCTGCTCCAAAAGCATCGCTCCCCATGCACAAACACAGCACACGTGCACATCCTTCCACACGAGATTCCCTGGCAGAAGCCCAGGAATGCTACTGCTATTGCTCATCGCTGGTGGGTTCTACCTGCCTGCTCAGCAGCCAGTCCCTTTGTCAGCAGAGCAGGTTAAAGCCAGACTGAGATTATGAGAAGTCATTCTGAGGGATCCTGGCTCTGGGTGCTATTTCCAAGCTGTTCTAAAGATGCTCCAGTTTTAGAAAATGGAGAAGAGCCAACCCATGAATACCAGATAGCTTTTAAGTGTTTTGGTTTTAACATTGAGGGGAAATGGCCAAAAATAATTCTGAGAAATGTGACCAGTCACTAGGACAAATACAGTAAAAATTCCCCTTATAGACATAAGGAAAGAGGTTATTGGTAAAACCCCCACAATTTTCTCCTTTACTATTAGACTGAACAAGCAAAGACTTTGGAAAGCACAGTAATTAAGCACAAGCCTTCAATTAGAGGACAGGCAATAACCCCTGTTATTTGCAAAGACTACAACAATGCTGAACGTTTGCAGCAGCACCTCTAAGAAAGGTTTGTCTTGGAAGATGTGTTAAAAAAATAAATGTAAAAGAAGGCTATTGAACTGCAATGCTAGATATGCCTTTATACCTCCTTGCTCCCCAAAATGCATTTATTCAGTTTCTTGTTTCTTGATCCTGTGTAGCTGAATTCTTTCAAAAATATTTTTACAAAATCTAACATATTTGCTGCATGATACAACTGATATTGTCATAGTTGGCACCTCTTTAATGACCATCTGAACACACACTAAGCTAAAACATTTAGAGGGTGGTTCCTTCACACCGCAGAGATGTTGTGGCACCCTGGACAGGATCCAGGGCCTCACCTGGCTCCCAGTGACCATCACAGGCAGTAAGATGGAAAAAAAACATGCTCCAAATGTCCAAGGGGATGTATAACAGCAGTAGCTTCCAAACTGCTTTCCCCTTTTCCATTTCAGAGACATCCCAGGGAAGCCCATGGGCTTGACCTGGAACTCAGTGAAACAAAAGGAAACTCTCCTGTTGACCAGCAAACGCCTGGGAACCAGACCTTACACAAACACCTGCTGAAGCACTGGAAAAGGCAGAGCCTGCATCTGGAAACTACAGTCCTCATGTGGTGCCGAGGCACTGGATGGCAATTTGTAGTGATTCTTTTTCTTTATGTATTGGTTCAAGCAGAAATGGGAAGGAAGCATAAGGAGCCATGAAGTCCGGCTCCCAACAGTCACAGGTAAGCCCTGAGGAGAGGTTTACTCCAAGAAGACCCACAGAACCTGCACTGTGCTTATGACAAACCAAAAACCATCCCAATAACTAAAGGGGCAGGTACCTCCTGACGTATTGTAACAGTAAACGAGCAAACATTTTTTAAATTAAAAACTCTGAGACATGACTGGTTCAATGATCTAGTTTCACTGAAAACTATTTATGCAGGAGCAAGCTATGTAGGCTGCCATATATGTATGTATGTATAAAATCCACATTTTTGTTCTGACATTACTGGATATGCTTCTGAAATATTTTGAAACATAAAGGCAGGGAGAAAAACTAAAGGTAAATGAACATACTAAAATTATATAAAAACACATTACAGAAAGCTTTGCAGAATTAAATTTTACTCGTGGTTATAAAGACAGTGAAATCCATTTTGAGATGTTCAGTCATTGCATAATAGTGCAAAACATCTTAAGCTTGGAATGAAATATCTGCGTTTTTGAAGGCAGAAGATGAGCAGAAGAGCAGGAATTAAATATGAAGTCCTGTCACCAAAAGCTGCTACTGAAATTACATTTATCAAAACAGGTTCTCTTTACAAGCACTGGAATTATTAAATACAGTTATTTATTGTACTATATATTTGTTGCAATGGGATTAATTTTAATGGAAAAATTCTTATTAAAGGAAACTGCTCTTCCTGCTAACATACACCACACTGGAGAATATTCACAATTGGGAGTTTCAAATTTGGAAAAATGCCAAACATGGCCCAGTTCCTCAGCTTTTGTTGAGCTCTTTATTGATTCCAGTGGAACTGTGTCAATTTAACTCGGTTGAGGAGCTGACCTCCCTATCCATAAAATACATTCAGATGTGTTTTTATGCAAAATTTCAACTACAAATATCTGTGCCTGACGTTATAAAGAAAAAATCTATCTAGGGGCCATCTCGATAAATAATTTGTCCAACCACATGCAGCTTGAAGAGGGGACAGGTATTATACTAATGGAATTGTCAGATGGGAAAACAGATTTGGGCATAGAGACCCTTCTTTGGGTTTCTTTTGTTTACATAAATGCAGCTAAGTCATGCTTTGGCCCATCCACTGAACATAAAAGCCTCACTGTTACTTTTCCAACAGGTAATGGATTGAAATAACATGAATAAACATGAAGTTCCATCCTCATTATTAACTGTGCATTCACTGTGGGCAAGACAAGAGGTATAGGTGTGTCATTCTGTACTGCATAAATAGTGCTACGTCGTTTCTTACGCTTAACGTTGCTCAATATGAAGGAAGGGAAGTAGGACAAACATAACTGAGATGAAAATGTGACCTCCTTGCAGGATCAGAGCCTTGCCAAATTCCTGGTTTTGCCTGCAAAATTACATGGCCTAACTTCATAGGGAGCAGCTTCCACCTGCATGTCCCTACAGTCAAATGAACCTTCAATACAACCAAATAACATATGGAGTTAAAAAAAGGGTGGAGAGAAAGAAAAGAAATGCTGGCTCTTGTCCGGTTCCGCAGAATGTACAAACTTTTCCACTTCAAGTCAGTGCACGGTGCCAAATTTCAAAGTGTAAAATGCATTAAAACTGAAAAAATAAAATAAAAAATAATAATAAAAAAAAAATCCGGGCCTGCATACCTGTATAGATGCAAAATCCCCAGAAGCACAAGCTCCAAGAATAGCAGCACCCACCAAAACGGACTCCACTTCTTTGGACAGGACAACAGGCTTGCCTACACAAGAAAAAGCCATGCCTCTGTTAGGAAGGATAGAGCAGTACAGCACCAGGGGCACAACAAATCATTAAAGCAAAAAAAAAAGATAAAAAGGAATCAAAAAGGACTTGACTTGAAAACCATGTTCACAGCTCCATTCAGCGCTACAGCCTACTGTAGATTTATGTAAATCTCTCTGCTCTGTTGTTCCAGGCTCCAAGAAAAATGCAGAATTTAAATAAAACAATTTCAGCAAAATATTAATGCGGAACAGAAAGTGTACAAAGAGTAACCCCCCAGATCTTCGACACTGGCTATTTATCTCCAAGGGTTTGGTATAGACCTGTTACCCACACCCTCCCAACCCACGTGCCTATTAAAAGTTGACCTCCAGGGGAAAATAGGGTGGTACCCTTCTTGTTTCTTCGGCAACGAACAACAAAAAAAAGAGATTGTTTGTGTTTGTTTTTAAATATATAGCCAAGAAAGCCAGTCTGGTTTTGCTGGAAGACATTAAAATATGACTATTAAACTTTTACAAGCTATGGATGAAATAAGAAGAGAAATCTTGTCTTCCAAATTGTGCAAGATACTCAAAAACAAGATTAAAACACTGGAAAAACAAACAAACAAACTCAATATATATTCTGAAGTAGAATTCAAAATTATTGTTTCATCACCCGTGGGCACTATCATGAATATACTTTCCCTTGGTTCATATAAAGTTTTCCAAGACCTGTACTACTAGTGTAGAAACAGCAGGAAAAAGACTAATACACAAATAAAACTCAGCCTGCTTTCTTAAATCTCCTTAAAAACCTAAAACAATAGCATAAGTCTAAATACTTTTCTGGCTGCACTTTAGATGCTTATCCTTAGCCAAAAAAATTAATATTCCTACAGTATTAGGCATGTGTCTACATTTCTGTTACTGAGATAATTTCATTCAATGAATGATGATGCAAACGCGGTGGTGGGAGGAGGGCTCCCCTCTGCGAATAGCCTCAATGATATTATGCCCCCAAAAATGCTCTTCCCGAGAGACAACTGTAAGATTAGAAGGAGACAAAATCTGGAGGAAGATCCAAAGTGAGCCATGAACAAGCCCTACAGAGGAAAAGGCAAATACACACTTTTCAAAATGAGAAATAAAATTATTTCTATATGAAACAATTATTGATACAAAGGAAATTCACCTTTTACCCCAGGCATCCAGTTACACTACGATAACTTTGGACTGTTCCACCAGCATAAAGCTCCTTACAACCATCTTTCACGCAGTGGTTTTTATGCCATTTCTTCCTACATGTAGCACCCGCAGGGTGAGAGGGACACAGTGAGACCTTGCTGTTTGATTGCTGGAACGACTAACAACGAACTCGTGTAATTACAGCATCCCTTAAACTGCTCTGACCAAACAAATCCACTTTAAAAACATTAGTGTAGGATCAGTCACCTGAGCATTCCTCCGGTTCAGAGGGGCCACAGCTCAGGACTTGGGTCAGCTCGGAATAGGAAAATCTAAAAATCAAGCTTAGAGCTCCCCGGCTGTTTGCCAGGAGTTGAAGCAGTGAACAATTTTCAGCGTGCTCTAAAATTTCCTGCGCATTTCCCGCATCATCAGAATGAATACAGAATTCTTACCAGGCAAACAAAAAAGATCAAGATACTTTTTAAGTGGCCTGCGAAATTATCTGTTGGATGTCTGCATGGCTGAGTCATGGGCATTTGCAGCTAACAATAATATATTCAGATTTTTTTTCTTTTGGGGAAAGAATGGGGGATTGATCCTGGAATGCTAGTTATTTTATCTGATAGGCTCTAATGAGTTCAACATAACCAAGAGCATTTCAGCGAGATGAACTCTGACATCCCTTGTCAGTCACTGATTTTACAAATGGGGGAGAACTCCAGCCTGCAAAAAGGCCTTTTTGTGCTGAATTGTACTTGGCCATTAGTTACAGTCAAAGAACTTCTGATTACATTTTAATCAGAATACCTTTTCACAGATCCTTTATTTTACACATCGGGAAGCAGGATCCCAACTCTACACGGAGCTGAAATTCACCTTAAACGTTTGAGTTATACAAGGCAAGGCACGGACTTGTCAACATCAATTTTCACAAACAGAAAGCGACACTGACTACAATGCACATAGTGAATTTTAAGGTCAATAGGCATTATGCTTTTTGCTTCTCAATTTCTGTTTTCATCTCAGGTAAGTACATAAAGCATATTTTCGTCTTCCCTCCCGCAACAAGGTTATGAAGTGTGGTGTGATGTTAGGGCAAGTCAGATCTCCAGACCAAATGCCCCAAATCTGAGCCTTAAACATCATTCATGACAGCTCAACTGGTCTTAATTTGAAATATACCCAAAACACACATCATTCAAAGTTTCTCTGAAGTCCTTTACACTAAATTTTGTTATTTTTTCCACATTTTTTAAAGTATATTGAACTGACTCACAGGTGTGCTAAGATGTCCAATGCACACAGGCTTAAGGGAGACCAAACATCCCCCTCCTCTTGTAATGAACTACATACCCAGGACTTTCCTCCCACCAGGAATTCTACAAAAACAAATGGAACACCACACAGGAACAAGAATCCAGACGTTGTCCTCTAAACCGTATTAATAATACAGTCATGGAAGCAGTTCAGAAAAGAATTGTTCTGTATAATGGATCCAATGTCCAGCATGAGCAGGAAGCCTCAGAAATCCAAAAGAATTCAAATAGGATGAAGCTAATTGAGGTTTTAGTAAAACACATCAAATGGTCACAAAATATAGTGGGCATTATCCTTGCCTAACTTCTTGTAACTGGACTGAATGGAATCATTTCTATAAAAAGTTTCAAAAAATTTTTAAAAATCTGAGAGTGAGAAACATCTCTGACATGCCATTTACAGAGACTGGCTTTTCAAATTCCATACAAAGGTTTTATATTTATACTATTGGTAAGTCAAAGAGCCACAGCTTAGAAATCGTGCTGGTGGTTTCTCCAGAAGTCTGTTTTCTGACAATCCCACGTACGGAGCTTTGTTTGCGCCGCATCTCTGCGGTATGCGAATGCCTTGAAATTTCAGGAAATCCAGTCTTGCAGGAAGTTAACATTTCATTACACGCTTTTTGGCCAACCAGCAAAAGACAGTTCTATATAAAGTAAGTATTTATTTTTCCAAAGACAAAGTATTTAGCCACCTAAAATAAAGTAGTTTACACTCCTTTCCCCACACTTCCTGTAACTCACCAGTAATGTCAGCGTGCATCTGCACAAAGAGAGGGTTCTTGCTCAGCCCGCCGCACAGAAACAGCGTGTTGATACGATGCCCTGCAGCCTCCATAGCTTCCAAAATATGTCTTGTTCCTAACTTCAAAAGGGGGAAAAAATAACAAGAAAAACCCAGATGAGCACAGGAGAACGGCCACAGGAACACATCTTCAATCACAATTTGTTACAAAAGAATGATACTGCTTAAAAAGAATGATACAAACTGCCCCTAGCAGTAAGCTGAGGGCTGGGAACAGACCAGCAGGGGTAGGACCTCTGCTGAGCTTCCAGCCAGTACCAGCCATTGTAACTAAGAATTAGAAAAATCAAACGGATGGCACGAAGAATTGGGAAGTACATGGGCACAGTGTATCGCAATAAACATCCTGGGGCTGGCTGTAGAAGTGAAAATGTAGAACTATACAATAACTCAGGGAAATGGGGCTTACAGGGAAGTACCCACAAGGGTGAAGACTGGGATGATGAGAAGACACAAGAAATGGGCATCAGGAAAACTAAGGATGGTGACGAGCAGCTGTTTGCGACCAAGCGCAGCCAAGAACGGAAAACATTTCCAGATCCAGAACTAAAGGCTACATGGCAAAGACATCCCCACTAAAACCTTCTATTTACTTTGTATAACAGCATCTGAAAATCACCCTCAGTAAAGAGATTTCAATTCTGAAGCCAAATAGCAAAACAGAACAAAAAAAAAAAAAAAAAAAAAAGGAGCAAATAAACCCCTGTATTTTCTGTCTTTTCAGCAAAAAGGAAAACCTGAAGAATTTTGCATTGGCTTAACTATTTCTCTTGGCCTTTGCCCTATGCAAAATAAAATGTTCCATTTCATGCCTGGATTAATTGAAACATCTAAAATGTAGGCATATTTTTAAACTTTTCAGTTACAGTCTCCATTCTGAGGAACTTAGAGCCGCACAGTGTTCCGCTTCGCAAATGATGAAAGCAAATGCTTTGCTATTTAAAAAATAAAATCTTTTCTCTTTCTGTTTGCTTTGCTTGCCTCCAACTCACCGAAGTCAGCCTTTTCCCCCTTTCCTCTCGCAAGAACATTTTCCATTTCTTTGACAAAATATTTGTCCAAAAATAATTCCAAGCTCTTTCTAATACCTGAAAAGTTAATTTTGAAGCTCAGACTTGACAAAAAGCCAAATTCAAGCCAAAATTTTGCGCTAGCTGTCTCTTTGTAGGTAGATTCCCCAGAAAATTCAACCTGGTCCAAGTTTTCCCAAACTGGCGTTTAAGTTTTATTTATGCTACGCTGTAAGTTCGTTAAGAGGTCTGCAGCCTGCAATAAACCCCTCTTCAAATAAAAGCTACTGAAAATTGAAGGGAGCAGAGTTTCATCAGGCTGGAGACGTTCCCCATGAATGACTGGCACCAGCCTGGATGGGCCTTCAGATGTATTTTGGTTTTTCAGGCAGGCGGTTATGAGGAACTTTAGCAGCCGCAACGGCAGCTGACTAAATCCATCGCTTCCCTATTGACACAGAGGGCTAATTTCCAAATCACACAGCCACAATTTTAATTATGGAAAAATAAACGGCTCTAAAAAAGAGCCCGTCTCCTCAGAATGGGCTTGACGGCCACAATTATATCTCTGATCATGTTCTCATCCTTCTAACTGTTGCATCGCATTTTGCAATGAATAGTTAAAAGGATATTCTCTTTCACTACTTCTGAAATTCAAATTTATTAACTACTTCTCTCACAACATACACACGTCAAAGACCCTGAGAAAGAACATGCTGTGAAAATTATTTTGTGTTTACCTGCCTGGAAAATTGTATTCACATAGCAATTTAAATTAAAGCCAGACCTATTTCACTGTGGGTGGGGGGGAACTAATTTAATCCTGGATTGGAGAAAATGCAAATCGAGGGGCTTCAAATGCAAATTTTATATAAAAAGAAAAAAGCGTCTCCTGCTGAAAAGAAAACCAGAGATTAACATTCTGTGGGCAGGCCTACACTTCTTACAAGATTTTTAGTTAGGTTTAAAGTCTATCCCGCACCCATTGAAGACAGTGAATGGAACAGGATTGGGGCTGTCCTGAACAAGAACTGTTTCCTTCCACAAAAGTGAAGCTAAAATTGGGAGTGACGGAGTATGGGAGGAAAATTAAATTTCCTGCATAGCACATTAGCAGTTAGTAAATATATCGAGTCTAAACCAAGTCTACTCTGTTTACTTTTTAGTTACTGTTTCAATAGTGCTTTGAGAAAAATGGTTTTCTGTTCACTTACAATGAAAACTGTGGTATGGCCTTTTTATATTAAATCTCACAATCAATTCCCACTATCAAATCTCAAGCACAACCAGCCATCAAAAAGATATGCAGATGCTGAATTTAGCACTCGACACAGTATTTGCATCTTGAGATAAAATTTGTGTTGTATCATTTAATGAGATAATAGGTGACTTTCCCAGGGTTTCCAGCAGAGAATGTTTCCACTTCGTTAGCACGATATAATAAGGGAGCACCTGTTCGATACTGGAAAGTTTCTTTCAGGGGGCAGTATCAGTTGCTGGCATTGTTTAAAACTCTCCTAGACATTCTTATTTAAATGGCAGGATTATACTGAAGCATCAGGTATAAGCAAGCTACATTCATCTTAAAAAAAGGAGCAAAACTCACAACAATGAATTCCAGGCTGGGGTTAAATTCTGGTTGTTTGCTGAAGAGGGAGGGTTAACACATAAGATGTACAATTCACAGTAAATTTACAGCAGCCGCCCACCCTCTCCATCCCAGATGGCTGACCCAGCCTAGAAAAGTTGTTGTTTAACCAGTAGAGGAGTTTGGAAGGTTTCCAACTGAGCGGAGTTTTGTCAGGAAAACTCCCCAATTCATCAAACTGTTAATGTTTTGCAAAAACACCTCAAGTTCAACAAACTTTTTTTTTTAAAGCAAAAAAAAATATAATAGAATCACAAAAAGGATGTCAAAGGAACGCCGATTTCAGTCACCGAATGCCTGGGGATTGCATGTCCCGTTGAAAATACCCTGCACTGGGGTTTCAAAACAACTTCTTTGACCCAGGTTTTCACTTCAAACTAGAATTTCTTGTGAACTGGAAATCCTGGGTTCCAGAGAATATCAGGGCAGGAACAAAAGTATTCCAATAAATGACCCATCTCTGCGTGTTAGCAAACATTGAGGACGTTTTCATAAAGATGGTGCCTCTGGTTGTAGAGAAGCCCAGGCACAGGCTGGAAATGCTCCGCAGGAGGCAGCAGCTATCCTTGGGGCAGGGAAACCCCAGGGGGAACGAGATCTGGTCTCTGGTCCGTAGTGTTATGAAGGGAATCACAGACCCACTCCGACTCGCTGTGGTACAGAGTTTCTGACTCATCTAACAGGCAAGAGGGGGAAATCCACTGATTTAGGAACAATCTGAAGCTGAGGCATTTTAGGGGAGCGCAAGTTCCTTCATACAACTGCCAAAGTTTGTTTTTTTTCCACTCTCTCAGCTTCCCTCTAGACAGCCCGTGATGGTAACGCTGCCCCATGCAGTATCAGCCTCTTTCCTCACATCTGCTCTACAGGCAAAAGCTCCATTTACAGAATTGCCATAAAGAGAAAACTTTTTAGGTGAACATTTTCTCCACAGCCTGTCGATTATCCTACAGTAGGGAGTAGTCACCAACGTGGATAAACAATATCTTGCTCCTTTAAGAAGTCCATTAAAGTGAATTCATCTATTATTAGCTATCTGTTTAGCAGAAGGGAATGATCATTCTGCCACAGAACATGAGACAATTCATTTATTCTTTTATGCACTTAAAATGGCTTACAGCAATGGCTTGAATCGTAGCCAAGTAGATAAGGGCAAGTTCATCCAGACCCCGAGACAATGTCAGTCCAACAACCTGTGCAAAGATCAAAAAGAAAACGTGCAAATCCAGCCAAAGTAAAAAGCTATTATTTTCTATGGTTTCTTGTTGTAACAAGTTTGAAGTGCTAATTCTAAACCCCGCTTTTGTGAGCTGTACACATAATGTTATGTTAAACATGTTATTCCTGATCAGGGGAAGAACCACATAAATTGTTCTTGCCCTTGCAAAGAAATAAAGAACAAACAGCACATTGTATGGGATTAGAGATAGATTAACTCTGACAGTTTTATGTTATGACTCAGATATTGCTCGTGAATGTATTTAATGTAATAATATGAAAATGCTATTACATAAAAATAACTTTCTAAAAGCATTTCTCCCCCTCCCTTCCAAGCACCCTAACGCTGAAACACAATCAATAATTAAAGACTGTATCTTAACCTCCTTTACTTTCACATAGATCAATGCTGCACTGTAGTTACTCTGGATTATTATCAGCACAGGCAAGACCTATTGTGGCAGAAAAAATGTGTTATTACCAGTATTTGCATACAGTCATCATAGCAAGGAAATTCCGATTCTGCTGCAGCATATAATTCTTTCATGAAATAATATAGGTATTATTAGGACCCAAAAATGTGTGTCACCTATTTCTTTTTAATGTTGCCCTCGTTTGTGGTTTAAAACGTGCTGCAGTGCTTACGCCTACCATTTCCTATATCTCAACCTCAAATACAGTAGACTTTGGCGTTGGTGAGTAGCTTGAGATGCTCACTTCAAGGAAATATGCCATTTTGAAGAACATTTTTGCATTAATCACCAAGTACCTTGATATCATCAAATTATGCCCTTACGATATTCTTCCATTCTAGTTCTGCACAGTAACATCCTGGCTTGTGACCCAGTCAATCTACCATTAAGTTCAGTGAAGAGAAACATCTAAACATTTAAAAGAGGGGCTGAAAATCTCCCCAGCAGAGGTTCTCAGGTGAGCTTCCAAACTCTGCTCTTTCTGCTCCCAGATTGTAATGCTTGGAAAATTTCTTTGTACAGAACATAATATTTCAATCCCTTTAAGTTCCAAAAGTAGCAATTTGAAAAACCACAAGCCAGAATCAGCTCAGGTTTACTTTTGAACTAAGATGTATGAAGCACGATGGTTGCGTATTTCCAATCGTGAGAACATCCACGCCCATTTTTAACAATAAGCAGAGGAGCTTTTCAATTTCTGTTGAAATTTACTACCCAACAACTCTAATACAGCACATTTACGGAACATTTATCTGTTTAAATCAAGCAAGCTCTCCTCAGAATATTTCATTTCTGGCATACCCAAATTTGTGTTGAAATTCATTGCAAAAAAAAAAGCAAAATTTGGCAGGCAGGTGAGTTAACAACAGCAAGTGTTACCAGTCAGTGCTCTGAAATGGGATTCCTCGGAAAGATACTGGGACACACGCAGCACTGACATATTTTATTCAGTATTTTTAGACAAGAAATGCAGCTGTGGTGATATCTCAACTACAACTATCTCTAGTTTTCTACCGAAACATTAGTCCACTTCGAAATGCAGCAAGAAACCCAATTCCTATGGGATAGTTTAAATAGCTAAGGAGGAGTACGCTCAAAATTGAAAAAAAGCTCTTTCCAAGCTTTTTTCTTTTTTTTTTTTTTTACCCTGTATTGACCTTTTTGCAAAGACAGGCTGTTTCTTACCATGCCCTTTAGTGTCAGATCTGTTAAGGGAGATCTGTTACCATGGAAATCTGGCCAAACATGTAAATCAACAGTGAGGAAACCCACAGGCAGAGATTTCTTAATCAGATCCAGGTGACTGTTCAAGTATGTATATATACTGTGAGCACTAGAAGAAAAAACAAGTTGGAAAAAGAGTGGGGGAGGTTATTCATCAAACATAAAACATTTGTACTACCATCAAATGCAGAAAACCCATCAAAGAATGCCAAATCCCAAATTTAAAGCAAAGGGGGAGAAAGGCAAAAGCCAGTGCTTGCCAAGCCCCTGGCACCACAGGTTGCCCTTCCAGGGGCAGCTGAATTCCTTGGATCTACAGGGTGAGGGGTGATAATGGATAAAGTTTGTGGTCTCCAGTTTGGACATTGTCTCCTACTGGTCCCTCAACAAGCCAGAGCTGTTTGATATTTTGGGGGCTTGATGCTGCTTGTCTCTGCCAGCAAGGTGCTGCCACTGTGAAAGGGTAAGCTAGAGAAGAGAAAGCTGAGAGAGAGGAAAGAGGAGGATTCCAGACAGAAATGCAAATCAAATTCCTTTACAAATGTTTAAAAATTTCTCTGATTAATCAATAGCACTGGACTCACAGCTTTCCTTTTTTAAACCATAATTATTTCAATGTGTGTTATGATTAAAAAACAGCACTAAGGGTGGAGGAGAGAAAGCAAGTGGCTGCTATTTTAGGGAGGAGCCGAACATGGGCCTAAAAATGATTGTATCTAAGTTCAGATACTACACCCAACTCCGCACTATCCAACAGATTTTTTCCTGGACCAAGAGTAATTTTAGGACTAAAGTTGAATTCTTCAGTGCTTTGGCTTGCAATGACACTAGTGACATTCCATTTCAAAAATGTTGCAATTATGCTCAAAATATTTTTTTTCAAACCCTCATACTATCATAAACAGATTCATATATATTTTTCAACTCCTCGGAAATCTCCAAGTGGGGCATTTGATTCTAGACATGTGGGTCAATAATAGTATCTAACCCTAATTACAATTGATTACTCATTGTCTCATCCACTGTAGACCCAAACAGTGATATTCATTTAGCCTCTACATGTATATTCAATCATGCACTAATGAGATCCCTAAGGGAATTTGGCATATGCTTTACTAGTTTGACTTCTGACCTGCTAGCAGCTGTATATTTATACTTTGCATTCAACCATTCAGCTGCATGTTTTTTCAATTATACCTTACCATGTGTATGCTATCAGAGGATATCATTCAAAATGAACTACACTTGGAAGACATTAAAATAACTAATTCACATCATTATTCACGTACTTTAAAATGTACTTTATGTGTCTTCCTGGACCTGAATTATGATAATTTTGAGGTCACGATCATTTTTTCCCCGCTTGTTGTAAAAGTGGCCCTGTTTTCTACATCCCTGAAGACTGTGTTATAAGCAGTACATGCTAAGGACAAAGTCATTTCATTTCCAGTCTAAATCACGGCTTGACTGTTGGGAAGGAAAAGAAAGGAAAGCTTCACTCAACCACAGACCTACCAGACATCCCAGCTTCTATCTGATCTCCATCCTGCTTGATTACTCCCGCAAGGATTAGCCATTCGTGCAGCTCTGACAGAACACAAGGACTGTGCAGAAGAGGCTGAAGTTCAGCCAAATAGGCTTAAGACCTACACAACCTGGGAATTACACTTTTTTTTCACACCTTTTACTTTTTTTTTTTTTTCCTACATAAAGATACGGGTTCAAGGCACTACATTTGGACTGAGCGACTGGCAAAACCCTTCAAACACTTGCCAGTTCCAGTTTCTGCCATGTTTGTGTTATACATAATATTACACCATCAGCTCTCTGGAGCTTTTTCTGTTCAGTTCTAAGAGAAGGTATCAGTAGCAGCTGGATATCACTTGCAGAGTTGAGCACAAGCTGTTGCTATTAAAAAGGAAAAAATGTTAAAAGCATAAGAATAAGAAAGCAGTGCAAGTTTGCCCAGGGTTCTGTTCATACTTGGGACATAACTTCAAAAAGCAACAAGAGGTTGGTATTTAATCTGTTCAGGAAGCCTGGAAGATGCCAGCAGGTATCCTTTAGAAAAAAAAAAAATCTAAAAATGTTGGGTTTTAAATCTAAAAAAGAAGGGCTCTAAAACATCCAGAGGTACAGAGAACTGCCAAATATGATTATTATATTCTGCTTGAAACATCCCAGAATTCCTGATAGATACCATGTGTGTAACAATTTTTTTAGGAGACAGCTCTTTAGATAGGGAAATGGCATCAAGAAGTGTAGGAAAAGGAAATTCTGTCCTAAAACATAGCGGTTCACAAAGCACCAAAGGGCATATAATCTTTGCTGTCAAGCAGTTAGATCTTTTTTTTCCTCCAGGAGATTAGAAACTGTGATTCTAGGAAACAGAAGTATTTAAACTTTAAATCACAAATGATTTTTTTTTTTTTTTTAATTTCCTACTCTAGCCTACCTATAAAGGATTTAAAATATTAGTGATGGCTGTGTCAGACTTTCATGATATATACAATAAAGAGCAAAAGTGCTACACACACAGCAACTTCAGCAGCTCGCTGAATCGCATGAAAAAGCCCAAGTTTTGCTGCTCACAGAGTACGCCAATTAGTTAGACCAAATGCAAGATTTACAGCTGTCCAGAAAATCCTCATGTAATTCAACCCTCTCCGCTTCCAGTAAGAGAAGGGAGAGGAGAACGTAGGAACAGCACTGGGAGGGTTGCACAAGACTGGTCTCCAGCACAAGTGGTCAGTGGGAGCTGGTTTCTGGCAAGTCCATCTAAGCCACTCGCGCCCTAACGAGTTACCACAAATTACTGAAACGGTGATAAATGCAGCTTGCAAATTCTGCTCCCGGTACGGGAAAAGGGACAGAAGCTTCTGAGCTCAGCTGCCATTGCAGAACCTACTAATTAGCAGCATTGGGAGCCTGGGAGAAAGGAAAGACAAGCTTAGGAAGGCAGAAGTAGGTGATAGGCAGCACCAAGTAAGAGGCACAGATTTGTGACCTCAGATGTTGTTTTTTTAATGGTCCAGACATCCAGATGCTTTTCTGACTCTATAAAACCAGGCTAACTCTTCACAGTGCCGCACCTGGCATGCAGAGTAAAGATAATATGCAATTGCACACGTACGGAATTCTCATTTCGTTTTCTTTCGCTGACAATTTGCAATGGCTGAACAGATATAAATTCCTACACCCACACAGAGAATATACTAACTATAATAAACCAGATTCTCTGAAATATTCTGCTGAGATTTCCAGGGAAATAATTTATCATCATCACCAACAATCCCCCAAAACAAGACACTGTGTTCTTATTAAGTATATGACTTAATATAAGTAAACACATAATCCAAAGCTTGGGCCAACATTGTTCGCTAAAAAAATGCCTTGCACTTGTACAACTGCTGCTACCAGGCCCTGTGGTAAGGCTGAAGCTTGTGCTCCATGTGTAGAAAGAAATGAGGAAATCAGGAGAAAAACTCAGTTCAAATTGCAAAATTTCTGATTTTTGTTTGTTCCAATAAAATTTTTTAAATTTCATGAATATTTGAGAAGGACAAGGGGAAAGGGGCTAGGGGGAATTACTAAGAGACTGGTATACTAAATATATAGCTATCCAAACATTTAATTAGGAGAGCAATAAAAATACAATTGAGCAAATTAACTTTTTAAATTATTATCATCCTTTTTATAAATTATTATAACCCTTTTAATCACTGCTATCCTCCACAGTTTTACTAACTCCAGGAGATTCAAATCCAAAGTCATGACAGCATACACTCAGAGAACATGGAGTTCTATTCCCAATATTCTCTCCTTAGTGTCCTATTCATATCACAGTTCACGTTTTGTCCACTATGAAATTAGTTGTGGTCAGTCAGTCAGTATCAGACCATGTATACACAAGCAGGCTATTCTATATTTATTTTTCCAGCAAAAACAACAAAAAAGGCTTATCCTGGTATTACAGACTAAACTAATTGTTTTATGCTTGTGCTTCATATGGGGGCACCGGAAAAATTTGGAAGCCAAAATTTTGGGAAAAAAAAAAAAAAAAAAAAAGAACAGCTCTTCAAAATTTCTGATCAGTTCGCCCTTGTTTAGTACAGAAAATGCATTGGAACTCACTGAAACCCTGGTGGACCTCTTTCGAGGAACATCATGCTTGCTCTTGTTCACTATTCCAAACATACACAGATGCATTTATTTCCTGATTTCCTTTCTTTAAAAGAACAACAAAGAGAATTCTAGGAAGCACGAATCTATTTTATATTGAATGAAGTCCAATACATTTCTGGGAATCCTGGTCAAGTCGTTAACAAACAAGTGAGGCATCGGGCACTACAAAGCACGGGAGGGTCATCCAGAGAGACCAGGTAGCTTTAACTCCCCAGGAAGGACTGAAAATAACTATATAACTGCATATGCTTAATATAGCTATCAGGGGTGACCCCTGCTTTTTAGACCAGAGTGATAAAATGCCAAGTCTGCTATTTTTTGCTTTAATCTAAGGAGGAAAAATAAATTAAAAGAGAATCAAATTTTCATCCAATGTGCCTAACTGTCCAGCTAGGATCTCTCTGGGAGTGACATGAACCATCTTAAAAGGAATCCAAGCCAAAATAGCTTGAGAAAGTCCAGATCTGACAGAAGTGTCTGGACTGTCTTCATCCACTTCTAAAGCAGACCAAACTAAAATTCCACATGGCACACAGCCTCCTGCTCCAGGAATGCTGGAGCTACCTCCAATTCACTCCTACATCTTACGTTTTGTCTGAAAATTCATCCTGGGTTTCTCTGTTCTATCCATGCTGCCATGCAGGAATTTTTCATACATCAGCTATACCTTCCTTTAGGTGACTGTTCCAAAAATATTGAATAATATATTCCTAATTAAGCTATATCTCATCCTTGGAGTTTAATAGTGTCAGCTACAAATTAAGATACATCATTAGCCCAAGGCATAAAGGTCTGCTGAACGGGGCAGATGCTATGGCAGCAAGAAATAACCTGGGCTGGATATAAAAGAAGTTGAAAAGCAGAAAGTTAATATCACCTCTTAGATAAGCCAAAGGTATCTGAGGGGAGTTTAAAGCTTTCATCTCTGAGCAATCACCTGGCAAGCCTTTGTAAATACTTCCAATCCACTATCAGACTGTTAATTCCCCTGTTTCAGAATAAGGATGCAGGACTGCAGCTCTGCACTGCTGGGAATACAATGTATCATCAATTTGTAAGGCAGGTACGTGATAAAGGAATAAGAACAGTGACCTGGCTGCAGCTTTGGACTGTAATTCCGGGAAGGCGACATGGCCTCGGACCACATGATCTATCTGAAAAAGAGGAAAGCAACATTTTTAGAATGATTACATCTTAAACATTCGGTCTCAGAAAAGGGTAATGCAGTGTCATATCTTTAAAAAGACAAGAGAGCTCCTAAATCACTCATGAGGTGTTAAGTCCTAGTTCTAGTGAAGCCAATGGCAAAGCTCCCACTGACATTACTGGATTCAGGATTTGGCTTTAAAACAAAAAGAAAAAACAACCAACGCTGCACCAAAAATGGGCAAAATGCTAAGCATGCAGCTCCTCAGTCAGAAGAAGCAGCTGAAAGGATGAGTTTTTTCCTGTCCAAGACTATCTGACAGCATGTCCTCTAGTCTCTCTCTTTCTCTTGCATGCATATCCTCATTGGAATGCTACCAGGAGCATCTTCTTGGCCCAAATCCCTACATCTTTCTATATAACACCGTTAAAATAAAATACAAGGTGTGTTGTCATCCTGATAGATGCTCCATATGTTCATTGCAGGAAACAATATGTATACTCTGACAAGCAATTATTGCTATAAAAAAAGATCAATATAGGCTCTGTCTATACCAAATTTATAAATCATCTGCTCCTTTCACTTCACAGTGGCTACCATTATTCACAAAACAAAGTATCAGGTAAAACAACATGGGCTTTTAAGACAATAATTCAGCAGGTTTTGTGGCCTCTTGGTAACATCCCATCAGAGGTGACAGTAAAAGCTGAAGAGGCAAAACCAGAGCTACTCAAGAGCACTGAATATATTTGGCAATACCTACTGGCAGCAAAGAACATTAGGTATTTAATTTTTAACAGCATGAGTCTAGTCCTTACCCAGTGTAACAAAACATACAATGAAGCACATCTGAACATAGCAATAAAAATACTACCTGCCTGTTCTTTCTGAGATTGGCATCAAAGACCAAACTCAAACATGTGCACGCATTAGAGACAAAGCTCAGGCCTGAATTTTGCACTCTTGCATAATACCTTTAGAACACAGGAGTAGCTCATAAATTCAAAAATACGTTTATAAATAAATATCAGATATATGTGTGTGCTATCAAAACACCTTACAAAAACATGTTACAGAAGTTACGAAGTCAGATATTTAAACGCTTTTAATTCAAGACATGGGCACATGAGGGTTGCATCCAGAAATGCTTTCTGCAATTCTTTATTTTACAGTTTTTAATGATGTCATGCCATCCTTTGTCTCTGTTGAGCAATACTTTCCTTTCTATAAATTTTGAAAATCCAGTGCAAAAGCCCATCTAATACACAAACAAACAAGCTTTTTCAAAACAAGCAGAGTTCTCAATTCTTCATTTGGGCTCTGTCTGAACCAGGTTTCAAAATTCAACAGACATTTTTCACAGCTGTATCAATAAAAAAATTAATGAGATATTTCTAAAGGAAAGTGTATCAGTTTTACCTTTAAGAAGTTCAACAGACTGTTCAAATTTCACTAAAAGAATTCACCTTTGGGCATAGATCAAGCAATGAAAAGAATTCCAGAACATGCCCATTATTTTTTGTTTTCAGTAAGCTTGAAGTATGAGAAGGTAGGGTCTTAAAAGGACTAGAGTTTTACAATTACAAAGGTGATGAATGTCAACTATCCTCCACATAGTGCATAAAACACAGTTTCCTCCTATGGCTCCATCTGTGTTTTCTGTACATAAAACCTCAAGAAAACCATGAGATACTCTAAATATGTTCTAATAAGACAACTTCCCTAATATACCTATCAGTACTCAGAGCTGAGTAGTGCTATGGGTCCTAATAAGGCCATACATTTTTTCCAGCATTTTCTTTAATGACTCAGGAACGTCTTGTTCTCTGGTACTAGAAAGGAAAGGATTTTGAAAATCATCTCTCTGAAATGCCCTCACGGCACATTTTAAGCGTGGAACCACCTTGAGCCGGCCAAGAAAACAAACCTGACTTGCTGTATCCTCTGTAGAGCTTAATTAAGTGTCCTTAGCCACTTTGGATTAAGCACACAGAGACTTCTCTCTGAAAAGTGTCCTTACAAAGCACAAGATTTGCCATTTTCCTTTTAAAGGGAGGTTGTCACAAGCAATAATTAAATTTGACTTCTGGCTGTACCAGTTACCTATAAAATGGGACATTTTGCTTCTAGCCCCACCTTGGCCTGAAAAATTTAAAGCAGAGACATCCCACCTGCTGAGAGAGCACTTTAGCCACGAGGCCAAGGATGGGCTGGAGATGGGCTGGGAAGCGGAGGCTGCAGGAGAGGAAGAGGGATGACTCTCCCACTGAAGCTGTGACACTGCACAGAGAGGAATGTCAGGTTCACGTGGCCAAGGAGAGCGCACGGGAGGGAACACCAATTCATGGCTCAGTGCTCAGGGTGTGTCCAGGCTTCCTGATCTAGGATTATTTCTGTTTCTCATTCAGTGACTGTTCCCTATGGAATGTGTAAGTGCAGTGATGCCCCAATCTACTACTTCCTGGACTTGTACCCTGATCACTTGGCTTTTCTAAAGGTGGGTGGTGCCAGCTCTGAGTAAGAGGCAATCACGCCTGCAATTTGTGAAAGACCAAACCCATCTGAAGGTTGGTGAGCTTACAACAGATACCCACAGTGCCAAGCCACCTCCTGTAGTTTCTCAAGAGGAGCTCGGCACCCCCAAGGGCTGTCAGTATTTCTACAGACCGGGAGGGAGACACACAGGGAGCTTCAGAAGCTTCCAGGGTTAAGCAGCCATTAAGATCTTGCCAACACTTTTGGACTCAAGCCTAAATACTGTTTTATACATCTAGCCTTTCTTTAAATTTGACATCAGTGTTTTAGTTGTATTGCCTCCCGGTAAATAAGAAAATTCATTTTTAGAGAATCTAGTCTGGTTTTAAATTTTATTAATAAATTAAATTAACCTAATATAGTTAGAGTCTTTGCACTCAAGGAAAGAATTGAGGTGACAATATATGAAGTATATATCTAGACATAGCATAACATGTTAATATATTATTATTCTGTCCATACAATACATATTTCATTTATACCCATCAATGTGCACAATTGTTCTCTATAACACAGTATGTATAATTTTCTTTATCTCAAAGTCTATCTAAGCCTCCTGCTAAAGTAAAGAATGAACGTCTATTTGCCTGCAAATTAATAATAATAATCATCATCACCACCATCATAAAAAGAAGACACACCCTTAGTGCTCTGCCCCATATATAATCCCCTATCAGTATGCAAATGAACAGTTTGTAAGAACTAATTGTTCATTGCTTTCAGCAGCTTGGCTTCTCCTGTGACCTTAGGGAGTGTTCCGGGCACAGCTCTGGCTGAGCTGACAGAGAAGCCATCCCGAATGACAGCAGTGATGGCAGGTGTCCCTGGAATCTGTCTGCGTTTCCAAACACTTACCAGTTTTCCTGTAGCACTTTGACCTCCTTCATTCAACCACAATCCAGGCACCATCGCAGAGAAATAAGGTCCCCAAACACCAGGCACAAAAATGGGTGTTTCACTGACCTGGAAAAGCAAGAAAAAGCTTTAGTGAATCAAACAACCTGTCAAAGTCGTTTGGCAGCTATCAGAGTCCAATACTGAAATGATTCCTGCTCCTCCACTGGAGTTACCAACATGAGTAGAGATGTATAGGTAGAGATTTACTCTAAAGAGAATGTAGAGAAATATCTCATCTTAAAATGATGCAAATGGAAGACATGACACAGCTGCAGTCACTGATTGCACAAGTGCCCCACTCGCTCCCATTTACAGAGCAGCTGGGTCTGGCCATGCAGAAAGCAAGAAATTTCAGGAACAGGAGCTTTATTTTTACAGGAAAAGAGAAACTGCCCTATTTCTCCAGGAAAAAACCTGACTTAGAATGAACTGTTGGATACAATACTCTGCTTGACTGTCATCAGAAAATAGAGCCAATGTCATCGGCACCCAGTGTTTACAGAGCACTCATCCTGCCTGTCTTCAGAGTTCAGAATCGAGGGAGACTCCTGCTGACAGAGGACAGCAAGGTCCCCCCAGAGCTGGCATCGACTCCTGAGGCTGGCAGTGGAACCCTGGGCTCCAGTGCTCTCAGGAGAGCTGAGTGCCTTGGGTAGAAGCTGCAAGCCTGAGCTTGTCTTAGCCAACAGGAAACATCTGCCTGGGTAAACATCAGATTCTGCCCCTTCCTTAGGCTTAGCTTTACACAAACCACTCCTTCCTTCAGACCCGTGAACCCTTTTATCAAAGCAGGTATCTAAGCACTACCATCCAAAACCTGAACAGGACTGTATTCTACCACTTGCATACAAATAAAACACCCACATATAGAGTGATACCCTGCTCCTATGCAATATTTTCGTGGTTAGACCACTCAGGATGTGGGAAACACTGGTTCATTTCCTTTCTCTACTTCAGAAGATTCAAATTACCAGTTTTTAAGGGTGGAGGGCGTTTTCCTTCCTCTTACAAAGCCATTCCCCTTTCAGAAGACTAGACAAGACTTTCTAGACTTCCTTTCTGGTCCAGAAAGCAAGCATAAGGAGATATCCTACCTAGTGCAGCAAGGAAGAAACAGCACAGGATGGGGAATGGGGCAGTGGAACTTGGGTCCTAGTACTGGCTACAAAGACTAATTACATATTCCGCACTGGTTGAACACATTAATAATTCTTGCAGCAGGGGCTGGAGAAGACATTTCCATCCCCTGACAGGCTACCTGTCTTCTCTTGGAAGCCTGATTCATGTTTTCTCTTCCAGTACCAACAGAGGTATATACATTTGAGTACTCACAGCCATGATTTCACTGGGAAAACAGGAGGCATCATCACATGATGCACAATGCACTTCCCACTAGTCCATGTTAGCGGGAAAGCTAAATCTGCAACTGTTGTTCTCTAGAAGGTGGGAAGTTCTCCAAGAACAGGAAACGAGAATTCCCTAACAAAATAAGTCTGTATGTTTGCAATGCTGGAACAGCAAAAAAGAAAGGTCTTAGTCAATGGGACAATGGGGTTTTTTTGTATTTAGACCTTGGTCTTCATTAGCAAAATTCTAGACCCATTAAAGGATGCTTGAGGTTTGCCACTGATTTCAATAAGGCCCGGATTTCACGTCAAAATAGTTTTGAGGGGGAGTAATTAAAAATTGAGGTCTGTTCCTGGGAAACTTGATGCACATTCTCCCTATATTTTAAGAGTCCAAACTTTAAAGACAGCTTTTGCTAGCAACTAGGGAATATGCTCCAAGATGCAGTTTACTGGCATTTGTGCATCACACATGTTTAGTAAATACACCAGCAGGGAGGTTGCTGCACAAACAATAGTCTGTTCAAGCCATAAACTTATATTGCAGCTGATTCTTGTCATGAAGTTAAGTAGGAAAACAAAACAACAAAACCAGCTTTCTCAAAATACAGCACTAGAGTTTCAAACAACCCTGATTTCTCTCAGGAACACACCTAACAAATGCAGGGATCTTGCTCAGTTCTCCCCTATCAGCTCGAATGCCCTGACTTACTTTCGCTAAAGATGTGTGTGTGCACATGTGTCTGTGTGTCTGCGTAAGATTTTGGCTGACTAAACCCATTAAAGAGCAAGAATAGCTGCACTGCATTTAAAAAGGCATTTATGACTCCAAGTGGACGAAGCTACGTCAAAAACATTGCAAAGACATTTGGTTTTGTTTTGTTTTCTCTTAAAACTACAAATTAATACAGCTTTGAGTTTTCAACACCTCTATGGGGCAAGCCTTCTTTTACAATTTCAACAACAAAGTGAAGTGCAACAGAAAGCAAATCCTAAAATAACTTGATTTTTAGACCAATTTCACATCTCTGACCTGACTAAGAACGCAGTATAAGGTCAAAACTCCCAGTTAGTATCTGCTGTGAGCTAGCGATGGAAGCGTGCTGAGAACCCAAGTGTCTCATCCCATTCCCATCCTATAGCTGTGGACACAACATGTGTCTTTCCAGGTGGGAAGGAACATATAGAGAACAAGGGGCCTGGGCTTTTGAAGTCTCATCTCAAAATATTTTTGATGCAGCAAACTTTGCGGTATTCTGCACTCTACTGTGATTTCTGAAGGATGCATCTAGCTACACCAGATATATCAAGCTTAAAATCCAACTGCTAAGCAGTCTGAAGAAACCAAACAGTTTAAGGATATTAAAGGGACAGAGATGCTTTGTAAAATCAGGGGAAGCTCTAAACATCAAGAAACACAACACATTAAAAAAATAATAAAAAAATATATTTTTCTGTCATTAGTCCTCAATTGTCCAAGATGCTTTGTAAAATCAGTGGACATTCTAAACATCAAGAAACACAACACAGTTAAAAAAAATAATAAAAAACCATATTTTTCTGTCATTAGTCCTCAATTGTCCTATACATCTGATAACACTAAAAGGCTTAGATTGATTAGAAGACAAAATTCTCCCTGGAGCCAGTACTTCTGGCCATGTATTTTGGACACCCACAGGAATTTGCCAGGATGGGATATTTCCGTGCCGGCTCTTCTCAAATTACACTGAGTCTTTCCTATCATCTTACTGCTGAAGTCCCGTTTGTACACATTCCAGCAAACTTTCAGCACATAAACAGAGCAAAGGAGGGAGCTGCGTATCGCCACACCGATGAATAAAGCCAGTGGGGTACGAGGTTATCAGTTTTTTCCTGCTATGGGAACTTTTAACTGGAATAAAGAATACTGGCTGTCATGCTGGGCTTTACTGGTACTGCATATGGCATCATCAGATTTTCTATTTCCTCCTTCCACTTACAGAGTTTAATTCACATTTTGCAGACTCCAGATTTTGATGCAGGTGGAAAGTAAGAAAACTGGGAAACAACATACTCCCCAGAACAGACACACAATCTTCGAGAAGCAACAGGGTGAACATTCTTCCATAGATATACACATAAGAAATAGCAAATGGTTTCCATTTTCCCTCCTTGAAATAATTTGGACGATGCTAAAGTTTTTCAAGCCATGCAGCAGCTGGCATTTGTATTTTCATAATAAAAAGTCCAAATTCTGTTTCAGTACACATACCACCCAATCCCACTAAAACACATGACTAGACATAAGTGTGAGGTTGAAGAAACAGTGCAAAGTTTGCCGCAGAACCCAGAAGATAAGCACAATTTGCCAGACTCAGAGCTAATTTTATTACGCTAATACCATGTCCTTTTTATAGCTTTCTACTGCCTTCAGACATTCTCATGATGATATAGGAGGATCAATGTGGTGACGCTATTTTTTTGCCTTTAATGAGCTTAAGAAAATCCTTAATCTTTTTAGTAGAAAAACAACATCTGTTTTAGATTTATGGGCAATTGATTATTATTTTTAAAACAAACACGACATGTCATCCTTCTTTGAAAGTTAAAATACATTTTCAAAGGGAGCCTCAGTTTTTCTGCCTTCTCTTTAACTTAAATTCATCCTGTGACACACTCCTATTGTGAGGCATATTGACATTTATTATTTTTCACATGTAGTGAAACTGAAACACAGAGGACATCCTCTGCTAGACGTTAGAATGATCTTTGTGCAACAATTATTGCAGCAGGAATATCATCTGTGATGATGCTTCCTTCAAGTAGTATTATACTCAGATGAGCAATTCCACCTCACAGTTATTCTGTCTTTGGATGGGGAAGAATTCTTTTGTGCAGGAAAATGCCACCTCTCCATGTCTCCCCAACAGACACATTCCTAGTTCCTCAGTCCATCATTTGAGACAAGATGAGCATTAAGCAGTTCCAAGATTCCTGCTCATTTGAAGGGAAAAAGAGTTCAACACCTTCCAAAAGGGAGAAAAAGGAGAAAAAAGTTCAGTCTGGGAGGATTTAACCTCAGTGTGTGCTTTATAAAAGATCATACTAATATGTAAGATATGTAAACATTATAGAGCAATCAGAAACAAATGAAATGATGAATTCAGTTTAACAATATTCAGCTGTGGTGCAACTGCCAGAAGGCACTTTTTGTTATGAATAGATCATTTGGATGAGTTACAGACCAGATTTCAACCCTGGCGTGTGCTAGGAAAATCGATGTCAAACTATCTAAGATCAGAAGGTATCGGCAGCACATCTGGCAGCCCACAGAAATGAAAAATGTCTTTAAAATACATAATGCTATATAGAACTAACCTAAAGTATGAAAGGACCTGCTTAAATGGCACTAATATGAGATCTGTAAAGTATTTAATTTAGTTTAGCCCTTCCCACTTGCCTCTCCCTCTAAAACAAAAACAGGCAAAAAAAAAAAAGCCACCTCTGTTGTACAAGTCTATGTGGAAAACAACACGACTTTTACCACTTTTAGGCTAACTTACAGCTCATGTAAGCGAATCAAAGGTGTCACTGCCCTTAATCCAAATTAAATTCAGCTTTCTGGACTGTCATCTGGTACAAGGAGTAGAACAAAACACAGACCTTCACAGGCGAGAATCACCTAGGCATCCAGCCATCCCATCAAATGAACAAGTCGCAATGTGAGGTTTATTTTACTGA